TTTCAGAAACCAAAATATTCTGAATGTACTTTCCACAACAACTTATTAATTCATTCTGTGAGGAATTAAAAATATAAGATGCATTCTTTGCACTACTGTTAAGATAAAGTTCAAGAATTTTATCCCCATCTCTGATTCTGTAGTTTAAAAGTTCAATAAAATTACCTACTCCACCCACTAAAGAATATTTGCCAATGACCATTACAATGACCTCTGAAAGCTATATCAAGTTGACCTAAGAAAATGATTTTCTCACAAAACAACTTTTTACAATTTAAAGCAATCTCCTTTTCATATTCTTTACTAAAATATCTATATTTTAAACATTTCCATTCATTTGAAACTGCGGAAAATATGGTCCAGGCACTATAATGTAGAATTTGTACTGCATGACGATGTTCATAAATATTTCAGCAGAGTGATATTCATAATTATTCCTGTTTTTCCCATGGTAATGTCTATTAAAAGTGCTCACAGCATCTGGCCTGTATTTGAATGGCTGAGAATACAATTTTTTTTAATCTAGAAGCTTTTAAAGGGTATTTATATCTAAACAAAACGCAACACAAACAAAATGCTCCATCTTCAGAAGGTGAATATCTAAGCCATGAAAATTGTTTTAACGATAAAAGTTTTAAAGATTGCCCATTTGTTTTTGGAAAAGAAGTTTCATCAGGAACAAAAACATTTTGAATCAAAGTTTATATTTGTAAATCTTTCACAAAAAAGCCTTCGAACGAAACAACAAATTAACAATATCTGATGATGAACATAGAATACAAGGTTCAATATTAAGATTAAACATAATTTTATATTTTAGGAGAGAACTAATTGTTCAATAGTAACACTAAACTCTTGTAGAACACACAGTTGAAACAACAAGAACACAAAGAAACCCAGACCATAAAAATTCTTTACACATATGAAATGTTTCTTCCTTAACAAGGTCATCTTTTAATTTTCTGAGTCTATAAAATGTGTGGATACAGACACTGCTAACAAATTATCAATTGATGAAAACTCATTTGGATACATTGAGCACAAGCTTACAAACAATGGATGTTTACTGTAAAAAGAGGCATTTAAATATAAATCAATTGCTTTCAGTATTCTTAAATCCATTGCTAGACTATTATCACAACACAGATAAATTGAAAATGAGCTAAATAAGCAATTGTCAGTTGATTCAGATCTGTAAAAAGAGCAATTAAAAATTTTTAAAGTAAAAAAAATTCTACAATAAGCTCAATGGAAAATAAAATTGGATTTAATCATTAATTTACAATAAATCAGTTTGGTAAAAAATTGAACCAATTAGATCAAGGCAAAAAATGTATTTCATAATATTATTACTATATAAATTTACATCCTCAAATGAACGAACGCAGGGATAATATGTTTACAAATTTTAAATGGAACTTTTTATTTTACTTGTTAGGATAAATGAAATCTTACTTCACCGCTTAGTTGTTCTTGACTACTGAGGAATGTCGTGCTCATTGACTTATGATTCATAAGTCAATGAGCACGACATTCCTCAGTAGTCAAGAACAACTAAGCGGTGAAGTAAGATTTCATTTATCCTAGCAAGTAAAATAAAAAGTTCCATTTAAAATTTGTCCACTTATGGACTATATTATGTCCATATTATGTCCATATTATGGACTAATATTATGGACATATTATCCACTTATGGACTATATTATGTCCATATTATGTCCATATATATTATGGCCACTTATATCTCCACTTAAATTGTTCCACTTAAAATAAGTCAGATTTTTATCAGTTGTTGACTATTCTTAATATGAACAGTCAACAACTGATAAAAATCTGACTTATGAAGGAGATTAATCTTTACTGACAATTCTGAATTAAGAGTTTGTAAATTTTCAATAAATCCATTTTCAAGCAAATACCTTACAGATTATATGCACGCCATATCAAAATTTATTTAAAAGTTATTTAAAACATTCAAAGAATTATTGTTAGAAAAGGCTTTTTTCAAATTAGTCATCATATGGGTAGGTGCAAGTTTCCATACCGCAAAGTCAGGTGGTGTCTTAGAGTCCGCAAAACTCGTAAATCTATTTCGCACAATGATATATATTTAACTAGATGTCTAACTTCGTATAAATTCCGTAAGAAAATATGAAGCAAGTTTTTGAAGGTTATAAAGCCGGTAGCCGCAGCAAAGAAAAAAACATTTTGGCGATGTTAACTTTTTAAATGTTAAAAATATGTATTTATAAACTGTTATTTAAAAACAGCGTTTGTAGATAAAGAAAGTTAGAAGTTATTATATAATACAAAGATATTACATTTTTACTTGGCAAATATAAATATATGTTGGCAAAAAATATGTTTTTGACTTTTACAACTGTAACTTAAAAGTACCCTATTGGACCCCTTAAGTTATTGTTATAAAAGAACACATATTTCATTATGAAAATAAATCAAAAGTGTTGCTGATATAAATAGGTATAAATTTTTATTTTTAATGTAGGTTTTCAATTAAAAAATTTAAATTAGTTCAAAAAACTGTAACACACAGTTAACAGTTACAGTTAAGGAATTTTCAGAAATAATAAAATTTTTGTTTTAAAGAATTAATTTTATTTTTTGGCATAAATAGCTTACAAATAATATTGAATATTATTATTGTAATTTTTCATAAACCTTTGAACAAAACAACTTATTGGACTGTTGCCGTAATCCAATCTTTCCTTTATGCAACTCATTTCTAGTGTACAGCTGACCATATGAGTGTAGACGCAATGTTAAATATTTTTCTATAATTTTTTTTAAAAGCTGTAAAGAATGCATGTCTTCAGTTAAAATCTCATGTTCTAAATCATGCATATTTAGTTCAGTAAACAGTGCGTCATTTGCAAGTTTTTGATTTATAAAGTGCACCAGATAGGTTTTAAGATTTTTTTTAGTTAGTTAGGAAGTTAGACATCTAGTTAATATATATCATTGATTTCGCATAATTATTTTTTACATGAATAATTATTTTTTTGTTGGTATAATTAAATTTATTAATAATTTTGGTCATGCTTTCTTGTTTGTTTTATATAGCCGAAAGGATTATATTAACTTGAAGGATTAAGTAGAAAATAATAACTGTAAAATGGATAACATTTCTTTTTCATATGATAAGATATCGGGAGACGATAAGAGTTTAAGTTTGTTACAAGAATCTAATCTCATTAATGGTAATTTGATAATTTTATGGTATTATATAATTTTTAATATATATTATATAATTTTATGTATTTTGTGGATTTGTTATTTTTCCAAATTTAAATAATTATAGAAGGTATATCATATACTTTTTTATAGTTATATATTATATAAGTATATCATAAATTTCATAAAGACGCCACCTGACTTTGCGGTATGGAAACATACATTAACCTCATCATATATTTAATTTGACTAACTTGGCCTGAAGTTACGCTACCGAACGACAAAAATAAAACAATTTAAACTACTTTAACAAGTTTTTAAAATCTCGTCAGCCGAATAAAAGGGCCAGATGAGTCGCAAGATTTTTTTGACTAACTTGGCCTTAAGTTACGTTACCGAACAGTAAAAATAAAAAAAAATTTAAAGGACTTTTTTGAATAATTTTTTGAAATCTTGTCAGCCGAATAAACGGGCCAGATTAGTCGCAAGATTTCTTTACTAACTTGGTCCGAAGTTACGCTACCGAAAAAAAACATAACAAGCCGCGTACGACACGGGGCTATTGCGTGCTCATATACTTATCATAGTTTAATTGGTATTGCTGTTTAGACCAAAAAAATAGAGATTTAATTTAATTTCAAAAATCTCAAAAATATATAACATATTTCATTAGCCTAATCGTTCTTTAGTTTAGTAAAAAAGATTTTAGTCAATGCGCCTAACAAGGCTAACTCTAAATAACTCTAATTTTTTTTTTCCGCTGTCAAGAATGTTCACGAAGATAAATCTGGTCTAAACCAGAGCATCTAGAGTATATCATTTTCACAGAATTTCAAGCTATAAAAGCACGTATTGCAACACTAGAAAACAAACTATCAAACTTAGAAGCAGAAAACGAAACCTTAAGAAAATCTCTTAACGACCTTACAAGCTCAACCGGTATCATTCTCATTTCTTTTTAACAGCAAATCTAATGAAAGTACAAATGATCAGAATCTATTACTAAAAACGTAGCACATGAGTAGAAACAAAGAATGAATCAAGTGTAATAGTAGTAATAGTAGTGGGATATCAGAGATAATAGTAGTTGGATGTCTGAGATAATAATGACGCAAATAAATATGCAGCGGAGAATTTCTTTTGAGCAGTTGGTATTGATATTTATCATAAGATTCAGTGGTTTTAATCACAAAAATCCAAACACGCAACTTTGTCACATTTAAAAACTCTCAATCAGATGCCCTGGTCTTATAAAATATTAGACATCATAATCTCATCATATAGGAGCACAAAATGTGTTTTCAAGCGAATGAAATTCAATCGTGAAAAAAGAGAAAAATGATGAACTTCAAAAATTAATGCTGCTTAACCCGCTGTTTCGATTCGTTATCCATTGACGCCTTAACTGAATTAAGCTAACTAATCCACAAGAGTCAGTTAATTACCAATAATCAGTGTTTGCCAGCATAAATAATGTCGCAGACGTTATAGCCAATCCATCAAAATCACAAACCGCAACAAATATTGTTGCTGAAAGTTTATTCCCAGCAAGAACAAAGGCTGTATCAGCCTCAACTATCCTAACCGGTACAACCATCAAGCCTCAATGTTAAAAGAAAACACCAGATTCCAACCATCATCTTTAGTTAGACGTTTCCCTGTCATATCCCATCACCATGAACTCAAAAACTTCATTACACCAGCTCAGCATGTCTTTGTAAACACAACAACCTGTGCACAAAAACTTGTTAGAATTACGGAATATTGTTACAAATGCCATATAATCAGAGTTTTGTGGCAGGCGTTGTTTATACAAGCTTTACAAAAGCGTTCGACAGAGTACCGCAAAAAAAACTTCTAAATAAACTGAAAGCCTGTCGCATTCGCAGTCATAACTGAATTAAAAATTAGATGACTAATAAAAACTGATTCAAAATTAGATGACTAATAAAAAACAAAAATAGATGTTCAAATGAAGAAATTCACTTAGCGAAAGCTTCAGGGGGCTTTTTTTAAGAACCGCTTTTTTTTATGCTCTACATTAACGATTACCAGACTTAATTTTAAGTTGTATAAAGATGTATGCAGACAACAGCAAGCTCATTGGTGTTATCAGATCTGGTACAGATGCATTATGTCTTCAAAAAGATCTTGACACATCTGTTAACTGGTCTAAAAAATGGTTCATGCCATTTAATATTAAAAAGTTCAAAATTATGAACATAGGCAAAAAAAAAACAACAGCAAATAAACAATATCATTTATTTAAAATGGAATCAAAAAATAATAATTTCAAACAACTCAAAAACACAGCAAAAGAGTGTGATTTAGGGGTTGTATTATCCAATAACCTTAAAGTAAACTTACAAGTTGAGCATGCAGCTGCAGTTGGAAATAAAGTTCAAGGAAAATTTAAAAAAGGTTTAGAAGTTGTTGTTTAACTCTTTGACGTTTCCTGTAATATCTATTATTATTACATATTTCTTATATTCGACCATTATTAAAAATTGGCATCCCAGCTTGGTCTCCTCATTGCATAGGAGATATAAATACAATTGAAAAAGTTCAGCAATGAACCACAAAATGGAATAAGTCAATAAATCAACTAAAATACGAGGAGAGTTTAACACGGTTTAATTGGACTATCCTTGAAACTTGCCGCATGCGTATTGATCTTATACAGCAATACAAAATAGTTAATGGAATTAATTCAACCAATTTTGTAGCACTACAAATAACACCAGTTTATCAAATATCTAAATATAGTATATCAAAGATCTAAATATAAAACAAGGAAAATTACGTCTTTCATCGTGTTTCAATATTCAAAAATATTGAAACACGATGAAAGGCGTAATTTTTTTACTAATCGGTAGTTAAAAACTGAAATTCCTTATTAACTATCACAGAAAATGCACCATCGCTCAAAAGGTTCAAAGGTAGAATTAAATAGTACAATATATTCACGTAATTTGACTGGCGCAGCTATAATTACAAACGTTGTCAGAAAAGAGGAGCCCTTGTCTGCTTCATTCCGTCAATAATTAGGACATGGATTTTAAACAAATTGTTTATAACGAACTGTTTTTATTATCTGCAATTTTATTTAATTTTAAATAATAATTATTGATAACTGAATAAGTCTACAAATGTAAAATTTGCAAACATATTTCAGGATTACCTACCAAATATCTTTACTCAAGAGGTCATCATTGCTCGGTTGTGACGTTCAACCTATTTATTTGCCTGCAAGTGATTGGGAGAAATAACTCTCTAATCTACTCCTGTTATTTAAAGTAGTTTTTTTGACCTCAGTCACTGGTTTCGGTATATAATATAGTGAGATATCACCACATTATCATGTTGAAACATCTTCACATAATCATGTTAACCAATATCCTCGTACAAAAATTAAGCAATTTCTTAAGCTGATCACAATGTGCTAATTAAATTTTATGTCATCCCACTTATACTTTTTTCACTCCCTACGTAGATACCTATTTTGTAATTGAAAATTTTTTTTTCAATGATATTTATTAAGGGGTGTTAAATAAATTGCTTTTTATAGACACCCAGATGCTAAAATGGCGTGGTTTGTGTGCAGGTAAAAAACCGTTTTCTTAGCTTTTTTTTGTTATTTGATTACATATGTAAATACTATAATCCAGTCCATATGTAAATCTAAATTTTTTTGTAATACTTTGCAATATTTCTTATGTAAAATTTTTTTTGCCACGATTCTCGTAATCTAGAACTGGCACAAATCAGATCTCTATTTTTAACAATAAAAGTATTAAATATTAAAAAACTAATTAGTTGTGTGCATGACAGGATAAAAAAAATATTTGGAGAACTAACTAAATAAGGAATTTATCTTTCAGTAATTTAACAGGTTAAGTAGTTTTTAAACAAATTAAGTAATTTTTAAACTATTCAACGTTTAAAAAAATTTATTTTTTAAAGATGGAATAACGTAGTATATACTAGTATATTATATTAAAAATTATGTTACGTATTTTTAATATACAAAATGCTTTATAAACTTGTATCGCAAAAATCTTTTTGACCAAAAAGTGCACAACATTGTTTTTTTAAATTTTTTACCATGAGAACAATACTTTTGTATCATACAAACATCTTTTTATATTTAGCATGAATTGTCTTGTTTACTCGGTTAACTTACCCAAGATTGATGGAGGTGAAATGGGATTATTAGATTTATTATTTTGTGCAGTTTTTAAGTTAGAAGCAAATTTGTATGAAAGATTTATGCAGGAATTGAACAAGTGAGACAAAACGAACTTGTTTAAAAGTCTCAAAAACATGTTACTGTAAACCATATCTAAAGTAACGTGCAACTGCTCTTTTGGCGCTGTACTAATGGAATGAACTGATTAAATATTATTAAAGGGTAATATTTAAATTATTCTTTCTCTTATTTTATGTTATTTATGAAATATTTGTTATTACCAAGACTTGAAAATATTTTTGGCTACTTAGCGTTTAATTCCATGTAAGTACATAGATACATGTTTTCTACTATGGGAGTTAATTCCCAAAGCAATGTTAGCTAGCTTAAAATATTTGATTCAAAAGTATTTAAAAGTATTTTTTAGATCAACGAACTAGGTAATTGAAACAGTATATTAAAATTTTATTGAAAAAAAGTTTTATGTTATAATTATGCTGTTGTCATATTTTAATTTTTAGTTTTCTTAAAATTTACATTTATCAAAAATATATATTACAAACCATAATGAAATTATATTTTTAGTTAAATAAACTGCAAAGAAAGAAGGTCTACCAAAATTCAGTGGCTCAATAAACTTTTGGACAAGTTTTATTTTTTAGGAATATTTGTCACAATTGGCATAATATAAAGATTGCTTTTAAAACTACTTTGCTTACAACTTTGAGCTGTCAAAACTGCTTCACTCTCTCAGTAGTAATTGGTAATTAAACCAAATAAAATATTTGGTTCAATTACCATTATGGCCAGCTCCAACTTGTAACTGTCAACTTAAAGTGTAAGTTTGTTTTTACCGATTGAAAGCATTATTTTCTTTCCACTTAGAAAATTTCCTACTTCGTTTTTATGTTTAAGAACATGAACTACGATTTTTTTTAGAAAATTTTGATCCATATTAGCTCTCAATTCGTTATAAACAAGATTTTACTTCCGATTGATAAAAATATCCCTTGCTTTAAATTAATCTTTATAATTTTGTTATTACTTTGTTATAAATATTTTTTTCAACTCAATTTTTTTTAACAATTCAAATTTAAATAAACCAACCAAAGCAAAGTAATTAGTGCAGATAAGTCATTGGTTCTGAGTGATGATGCTTATGAGTATGAGAATTTTTAGTTTTCAACCATTCGTGTCTATACATTCTGAACTTACATTATGTAGAAGAAAAAGAAAGACAATGCTATAAAGTATAAAGAAAAGAAACATCTTTAGGGAATAATTTGTTTTATAATTGGAAAAAATGGCATTTCAAAAGAGTAAAAACTTTTTAAAAAGAAATTAAAAAACTAAAGATAAAGCTTCACCCAAATTTGATAATAAATAAGCCTAAATAGTTTACTAGTTTATCTATTAATAAACAAAGTTTTTTTTTAGAAAATTGGGCCTTTTTTTAATTTTGTTGTATTTGTGGTATTGATGAAGAGTGGGAATCCTAAAAATATGTCATCAACATGTTTAAATCACCTGAATTATATTTTCAACCAAGGAACCAGAAATGTACCGGGATCAACATAATAATTACATTAGACATTGTTTAAAATGTCGAGAAGAATCAATAAAAGACTATTTTTAACCTAAAACTTATCAATATTATTCTTGGATTATCTATAATTAACTTATTTCTTTATCTTGACTCAAGAACGTAAATGTAAATTTTAAATGAGCAATACCTGTAAGATTTTTTGACGGGTTTTAATGAGTTAAAGCTTTTGTGGATCACTTGCAGATGAACTCAAGAAGTGTTAACTTGACAACGAGTTTCATATGTAGAAGAAATATAGCAAAAATTTCATTAAACTATGCTTGTTAGATATAAAATAAAAAAAAAACTATTGTATTTAGTAAGTTAATACTAGATTAACATTTGTTTTAATTAGTTGATAAATTCAGAAGCAGTGTATAAGTCTTACACGGAAACTTAACTAAGCACATTGCTTAGTTAAGTTTTTATGATTCTTAAGGCATCCCCAATATACTCCGAAAAAAATTAGCTCATTTGTTGTGTGTGTCAATTTTCACATATGTTTGATACATCCCAGTTAACCATGACAGCTGGGTCCCAGCTGGGACCCATCTGGGCAAAATGCTGGGACCCATCTGGGTATCCCACATGGGTCCCATCGTGATTTTGCAAATGGGATCCAACTGGGTCCCATCTGGGATCAGCCTGGGTTTTGGACGGGAAATCCCATATTGAACCCAGATATTTTTTGTACTTAGCGCGCACTTAAAGTTTGTTTTTCGCATATTCAAGATTCATATACGATCTCGAATTGGCAAAATAATAATGCGACACTTTTTTAAATAAAAAGTGTTGCATTTCTTATTTAAAATCAAATAGTAAAGGCTATTTATACTATTTATATTAAATTCGTCAGGGGAATAAAATGTATTAGGCGAATAAATATTTGGTCTGACATTTTTATGAATTAATTTTAAAAAACAGATTTGAATTTCATAATATTTTCAAGCAATAAGCAATTATTATAAAATAATTTGAACAAAAACTGTTCGACAATAGTTCGACAATATTCTGCCACAGTAGTTCTCTCATATTGCCATCATGATCGACAATAGTTCGAAAATATTATGTTCGATAATATTCTGTTCGACAATATTCTGCCACAGTAGTTCTCTCATATCGCTATCATGATCCCATACACAAATTCTGCTTTAATTTGTATCGTTTTGCTTCTTTAGTGCTTTCATCGAATAAAATCTGTTAACCATGGTTAACAGATTTTATCTGTAAAGCTGGTAACCAGATTTTATATATTAACCAGCTTTACACCCTTTCTTTATCTATTAGACTAGCGTAGACGTGTTCGTAATATTGTTTACAGTTTAGGATGTTAAATGCAAAATCTTCTTGACTTATTGCTTAGGTTTTACTTGTGCCTCTATTTTTATGACAAGGCAACTCATTCTATTATCTCCTAATGACGGTACTAAAACTCAGTTTTATGGTTTTGAGGCCGGATGGTAGGTAGGTTTTCCGAACTATGTAGTAGCTCTCAGAGAGGCTGTTTCCAAAAACAGCTGTAAAATATCAGAGTACTAACAGTGCCATGTTGCGCATGGGTGGCATCCATGTTCGTACATTTGGTATGCCCTTTCGAGGACACATTTGGAACTCTTTGTTATAACTTAGGGTTTACCAATAGTACTAGGACTATTGTAAAGTGTAATGGGTACTGGGTATTATTTCTGCATTGATTCAAGTTTTTTTAACCAATTTAAAAAATGACTTAAGTATCAAAAACTATAAAACACAAAAAACATCGTCATTATCAAGTTCCTTAAATCTGTCATTTACTAATATTTGATGTTACTTTTTTCTGTTGAGTTTTATCTCCAGGAGAGTTCACCAGACCTACATGCTCTTTGTGAGAATAATTTGAGTTCAGCAGTCTCTACTTGTGATCTTTATGTTTCTCTTTATCCTTTAACCAATGTTTTTGTTATTGGTGACTTAAATGCTCATCCCACTGAATAGCTTGATTCTGGTGTTTGTGACTCTACAGGTGTTGAGGCAGAAAACTTTTGCCTTACTCAATCTCTAACACAAATACTCATTTTTTCAACTCGCTTCCCAGACAATCTGAATCATTTACTATCTCGAATTGTTACTCGTCTTATGTCCTGTTTCTAATTCTAGTCAAAGATAAATTTCTCCTCATTCACCCGGTGAATGAGGAGAAATGAAATTTATCTGTATACGGTTATCGAGGAATAAGTTGATTAACAAGGATTAAGAGCACAAAATTTAAACTTGTTCTTTTAAGTAAATTTTAATGAATGATTAAACTTATTATTTACTGTATATCGTTAAACAGTACTTATTTAAAAATATCAACAGTATAAAAAATATAACTGTGTTTAGTATAAATATACATATATTAAATATTGGAATTTTTTTAATAATGAAATCTCTAACTAAAATCTTTTTTTTAAAAGTCTATTGAAGAAATCTCCTCAGAGTTGTGTCTATTATTACTGGCGTTTCGATGAGGACCAGCACTTATAACTAGTTTATCCCCTCAGACAAATGTCGCCACAGAAATATTTTGATTACGGTTTGATATCTCTAAAACTATAATCTCATTCTTTTTAGCTTGGTCTTCAAATTCAAAACTTCTAGGAGTCGAATCATAACTACAAAAAGCATATTGACAATGTCGTCATCCATGCTAACTCCAGACCATACTTAATTTTAAAATCCTAAAAACTCGCGATACATGCATTCTAGTTACAGCTTTCACTTCTTATAATAATCCAATTTTAGAAAAGTTAGATTGAATTAAAATTTCTTAGTAATTCCCATTTTTATTACCTTTGCGAATGCGATGTAGTGGTAAGATACTTAAAGAGAAGAAAACCATACGCCGCAATTATAAAACTTGTCATCTGTTAACGTTCGCTTTAGTACGCAATTCCAACGCTACCGGCGTACCGGGGGGCCAGGGTTTTCTTAAGGACTTTTTTTTTAATTTATTTTTAAGAAATTATAAGATGTAGAGGACTTTTATTAGAAATTAACGTTTGTGCCACTTGCCCCTTCTTCCCCACTTTGAAACCTGTATGGTTTTTGGCCCTGGCAAGGTAAGTTATTTTAACTTTAATATGCTTTAAGTTAAAGCATATATATTATATATAAATATATGCTTGAACATTGCTTTAGCACTGTTAAAGTTTAACAGTGCTAAAACAATGTTTAAGCATATTAAATTTTAAAAAATTTATAAAAAAGAAAATCTGAAACGAACTAAACAAATATTAAGCGAACCTTATTTATTTAGTTTATATAATTCTTAGCAAACTTCAGTAACATCTTAGATTTTAAATACCGTAAACTGGGGTTTATGGTATTTAAAATCTAAGATGTTATTGAAAGCTGCGGCTTCAGCCCATTTTGAACCTTTGAAACGTCTAGTGCATGAAAACAACAAAAGTTGTTTTCTGAATCACCGAGCACTGTTAGAAGTGGAGATCTTTTACTAGGTTGTGTTGAAATCAACCCACCACTCGGGTTGACTTAAGCCCACCATTTAAACTCTATAAAAAAAATTCTTTAACTGATTAATTTTCAAATGTGAGACAGATAGCTTATCTATCATAGGAATGATAGATAAGCTATCTGTCTCATGTTTGAAAATTAATCAGTTAAATAATTTTTTTTATAGGGTTTAAATGGCGGGCTTAAGTCAACCCGAGTGGTGGGTTGATTTCAACACAACCTAGTAAAAGATGCATTGGGTTAAAAAAAAACACCAATATTAAAATACAAAAAACATAAATTTGCAAAAATAAAGGTTTTAGAAAAGATTGAGAGAATAAGCTTACATAAAAAGTATTGAAAATCTAGGTTCAAAATCAACAAGTTATGTTTTTGTATGAATATTTTGCGATGTAGAATTAATAATATCTTTTTTTTTTTTTTGTAAATATAAATAATAGCCATCATGTTTTTTGAGATATGCGTGTTTAATCTTTTTTTTTAATACTGATGTGATATTTTGTAGTTTGAAGCTGGTTGTCTTTGAGGTAATAAAACATTTGGAAAACTTTTACTGCGTTATGATGTACCTATTCTAAAGTACAGATAACAGGCTTTCTGCTTACATGATTTGTTTATAATTTCTAGGGATATTTAAACTAAGAGCTGAAATAGTTTTTTCAATTATACTAATTTAATTGTATATTACAAACATGATTATGATTTAGTATTGTACTACAAATACAAAATTCTTTATTTTTATAATTACAACTTATAAACTATCCTAATACTTGCAAATAATCATTTAAATTATTTCCTAACAATTTTTTTTAACTACTTTTGCTATTTTTAGCCATGACCAAAGTAATACAGCGAACTCCATTTTCTTTGACCCCATTTTCTTTGACCCCCAATTACAAAAAAGTTATAAACTTTCAAGCTTCCCAAACAAGATAGAATTAAACACTGATAATTGAAAGTTAATTTAGTGCATATTTCAGTAAAATACCTTTACTGTATGGATGTAAAAATTTGAACGACTAAAATAATACGGATTTTAGGTGCTCGTACCAAATTACTGTTTAGGATTTTTATAAAGAATTATAAATTATAAATAAGTTAGACTAAATAACTAATAAATTTCCCACAATTCGCCACAAAAAGTTATACGGCGTACCTTAGGCTACTAAATATAAACCGTTTTGAAACAAAAAATTTAGCTACGACCAAAGTCACTCATTTGGCGGTAACTATTACAAATGATTTATCAAGTTAATACGCTATTTCGATTTATTGAATGAGAATTATTAATTTAATACGCAATTATTTCCTTTTTGATATTTAAAATGTTATGTTTTTATTAAACTTTTTTCCAAGTTTTTATTTTCAAGTTTCAAACCGTGTTGTAGGTGTGGTTTATTTAAAATAAAAAAAAGTTTTAAAAATTTATCCTAAAACTTATCCTGGAATATAACTTTACAATTTGAAGCCGTGGGGCTTGCTTTAGAAACAAGAAATCCAGGGTTGAAAGAGAGCTCTAGGCATATTTCGTTTTACCATCGGTAAAGAAGAAGGCGTGAACTTCCCATTTAAATGCTTTTTCCATGGTTCTCTGTCCTCTTGTCAAGGTCCTCTTGGGGTACCCAAAACAAAAAACAAAAAACAAAAACAAAAAAAGTTAGTAGCTATCAGTGACAGTTGGAAGACAATGCGGAATAAAGCTAAGTTTGCGGCATCTAGCCTCCATATAAAAATAATATTTGTTTAGAAACAATATCAGAAATAATTCTTACGGTAATTAAATGAGCCTAACAGACGAGTTGAAATTCCGTAAACATTTTTTTTTGTAGTATTAGATACTTGATACCACCCCAATAAAGGCGGTTTGTTGGAACACTTTTTTAATCAAAGATATATTAAATACTGCATAACTAAATTTAATCATTATTAGTGAATATTGTGCGCTTAAAACGATTGTATTTTGGTCGCAAATTCAGAAATTAAAAAATACGTTCCAACTCACCCCTAAATTAATACAAACATTTAAAAAAAAAAAAATGAATTTTATATTTATTTTTAAAATGCCATAAAAATACCTGAGGCCTACTATTAGCTTGACTCTTATATAACTTTATCTATATATAACTAATAAATACATAGATATTAAAAGCTTATTGTCATGCTTTTAACAGATTTGTATAGAATTTTTCCCAGAATAAAACGATTTTTTATTACGCACTTAAAACAACCGACCGGAACTGAGCAAAACAAACATTTTTAAAAAGTGTTATTTTCGCAGGTATTAATTTACGGAAGTAATTTGATTTGCAAATAAAATTCTGATAATTTTTATTTTATTTTTTCAATAAGCATTAGTAACTTTTTAATCGCGTGAAATACAATTTACTTATGTTATTCATGCATACATTTTATGTTTGCATAAAATAACGCATAAAATGTTATATTATATTTAGTTTTGTTTAAATTTAAAAAAAATATGATGTTTACAATACATAATGTACATAAATATTACACATAACTAGTTCAATATCAATTTATCTATTATTGATTATGCACGTTAATCTCAGAAAATTATTAACATGCTTCGACTTATATTATTTATATATTAGGATTTTTAGTAGTAATAAGCTTTCTGCTCAAAAGAAAAAGAAGCCTACTTGAAATGGATAAGGTAAAAAGAATCGGATATCAGTTTTATTTAAGTGTATTAGAAATTATGTACACTGTACATCTTTTTACTAGTTGAATATCATTTTGATGTATTGTAGTATACCGTATGGACTTTACTTCTATGGTCTTTTTATGTAGTTGACTTTTTAATGTGTTGTCGTTTTGTGTTTTTACATTTTTTGCAAGGCCCACATTGTCTGCAAAGATAATAAGTAGTCTTTTGCTGATTTAGTTGATCATCTTGGTGAAAGGTTACATTTAGAATTGTTAAATGCACTTGTGATTCTTATGTAAGTGTTGATAAAACCCGGACCAAAAATTTTACCATTTTCACAAGATCAAGTGTTGAACTTATTAGAATCACTTAGATTCTTATATGTTCAACACAATAAAACTCATGCTCAAACATGTATGTATACTATTAGGCAAAAAGCTGATTTTATCATTTATACTTAATACTTTACAATAAAACAAATTTACAAATGTATAATACAATTATTTGATTTGTATTGTTAAAAACAAAATTTAGCAATAAGAAACGATGTAAAGATAAGCACACATATGGCAGACATGTTTTTTTTTAACTTTATTATCCGCATACTATAATTATGAAAAAAAAAAATAAAATAAAGAAAAAAATAAAGTATTTTATTTAAGAATTTTTTGTTAGAAGTGTAACAAACAACTATGTATCACTTAATTTTATAATTTATATAACACACTAATAGTAGTAACAATTTATTAATAATTGCTAATCCAACCATTGTGCAAATTTTTAATAATGATCAAGAAAGTACAATTCAGTAAGGCCTGAGACCAAGACCGTACCCCAGGCTTTTAAGATCAAGACTCAAGTCTCAAGACTTATATCTCTATAGTTTGGTGAGCAAATATTTAAATTCTGTGTTTGTAGCTGTGTGCCTTATATTAACTGGGACGAAATTGAAATTTTTAACTGTTTAATTTACTTCATCCAAGCATATCAGATTTTTACTCAATGTAATAATAGTTAATAATAATAATTAATTTATTAATTATTATTATGCTAATTATGCTTCAACTAAATATTTTAATACTAAATCAATGGGGAGGTAAAGTTCTTTAAACATGACGAAGAAAGAAAAAAAATTGATATAAAACCCCAAATTTCCAGGAACAAGAAACTTTGATTTAAAACACCCAAATTACCAGATCTACAAATTACCAGGAATGGCATTTATTTTAAAAAGTTGCTGCAACACTTTTCTAATATTACATTTTAAATTGCATTTGATTTCTCTGCATTTTAGATGAGTTTTATCACTTCTTAATTTGATTTTTTAGTGTTAGTTTATCATCTATGAAATTATTATTTGTTTTGTTCCTGCCACAGCTAATGATAGAGTGTGGCTTGATTTAAAATTTTTATTTTATTAAACCCAAAAGTTAACTCAGGTTAAAATTTGGGTTTAATAGAATAAAAATTTAACCTAATTTAATTTTTAGCCTTTTTTAAACCCCAGTCTTACTTAGATTAGTCAAATTGTTTGATCAAAATGTATCATTTAAATTGGCAGAAGTTACCAACCAGGGGAAATTTTTTTTTTTGCAGGTATCAAAAGTATTTAACAAAGCTAATTTGCAAAATATTTAAATATTAATTTTTTTAAAAATTATTTAAATTGACAATGAGAAATATTACCAATAAAAAATTCAAATACAAAGAATTTATTTAATGATTGCAATTTTGAAAATCTCAAACACCTCTTTTTGAAAGTCTTAAAATTTCAAATTTTTTTTTACAGAAATCAATAATTTTTTTTTTTTTTTTTTTTAAATTAAAGTTGCAATATAAAATAAACAATTAATTACATAAAAAATTTATTATTAAATATTAATTAAACATTAGTTATTTATTAAATATTTTTCAAATTAATCAAATATTATTCAATTAAGTTAAAAATTGATTTAAATAGATACTAAAAGTTAAATAAATGTTTTTTAGATTTTTTATTTCCTTCTCAGTAAATTATTAATAATGATAAAAAGTTTCTACTACTGCTCTACTTTTGAACCTGTATATTTTCATAATATTAAGTCTTAAAGTTGTAAAAGTTGCCAATTTCTTGAATTGTTTGAAGGGGGCATTTGAGCTTAAAAAAATTAAAATTTGAACTTAAAAAAAGCTTAAAACTTCTACAGAGGGGCTCTCAGTGGCTGTTGCACTTTAACTCAGATACAACTTAATTTTTTTTTGTTTTATTTGTTATTGCAACAATCTAGATCTTCCTATATTTATGAAGGGTAATGTACTCAATGAGTCATCTACCCTTTGTCTTTTAGGAACTATTTTTCTTTGAAACCATATATTAAATTCATCTGCTAAGGTTGCATCTTTTTATCATGCTTGCAACTTTCTTACTCCGCATTCTATTATTTATCTCTATAAATCTCAAATTTGTCCATGTATTGAATACTGTTGCCACATCTGGAGCAGATCTGCAATTGATACCCTTTCTTTTAGACAAGGCACAAAAATCCATTGTAAACATAGTTGAACTTGCTCTTGTAGCCAACCTTTTTCCATTGTCACATCATTGTAATGTTGTGTATCTTTCTCTTTTTCTATAAATACTGTTCCTAAGTGATCCAAAAATTCTTATTCATCTAGTTTTTTTCCTCGAACATCAGTTCTTCAGAATTTGTTCCTTTTATTTTATATTCCCGTTATCTTATTTTTCTGATTCATATAATTTGCAATCTTTTAAATCATCTGTTAATCGTTATCTTGCTCTATAAACTTCATCTTTTCTCTTCCAGTAACTTCCAACTCTTAAAGTGGCTGCTTGCAGCCTTGCTGGAAGTGAATATGTTTTTTAAAAAAAATGCTACATAAAATAATTGAATAAAGGAATTTGCCTATGGCATTGAAAGTACAACACAAAAATTTAAGATTCTTAAAAGAGTTTTAGAAACAAAATTGAAAATGCAAAATGAATTTTATTTTATTTTAAATAAGATGTATTAATTTTCTACTTTTCTCTTAATTTGTAAATTTAACAAATTTAGCAAAATTAAATATGTTAAGTTACTCATCAGTTGTTTACTGGTCTGATCCAATAATACTAGGTGTCGAGTACCAAATGTCATGTTAGTGGTCCAATAATGCTAGGTGTCAGGTACCAATTTTAATGGTACTGATCTAGACTAATTTGTAAATTAAATTTTTTTTTTTTAATCGTTGAAAATTTTTCTGTTGGTTAATTTTTTTTGTTAATCATTATTTTTTTTTGGTTAATTTGCATATATATATATATATATATATATATATATATATATATATATATATATATATATATATATATATATATATACATATTTTGTTTTTTTAATTAGAAATACCCAGAGGAAGAAAACCTTTTACTATATGGCTCTTCAACAAACACTCCCCAAAAAGAGAAATGTGATAGCTTACCTGAAAAAGTAAGTATCAATTTTTTTATTTACTGTTGCAAAGTTTATTAATATTGTAAAGACATTCTGTTTGTTTTGTATTTTAATTATTAAACATTTAAAAGATAAAAGAGTTTGTTAAAAATAGTTTTTTTTCTCTGTGCAAACAATGTTCTAGTTTCATAATTGACAATGATTTGTTTACTAAAATTTATAGAGGTATCTATAAAGTATTATCTCTATAGGCTTAGTAAGATATCTAATATCTTACTAAAGTTTATAGAAATAGTACTTTAATAAAGTTTACAGAGATAATACCTTACTAAATTTTATAGAGAAAATACCATGGCCTAAATATTAAAAGAGATTTTTATACTTAGATCATATAAGTTAGGGTTCGGATTGTTGTAGTTGTTATTGTAAAAATTCAATGCAATAACATATTGCAATACAATAAAATTTTATTGTTATATGAGAGATTTAATTAAAACATTTTTTATTGTTATTGTATTGCTGTGATGAAAAACAGATACAATGGTTATTGCATTGTTTTTGTTTTGTGATGTAAAACAATTACAATAGCTCTTGTATTGTATTGCTGGGATGAAAAACAATTACATTAGCTATTATGGTGTATTGTATTACAAAATGTTTAACCAGATGATGACATATAAACTAATTGATTAACTACATAAAGCATGGGAAAATAATTTTTTGTATTATTATTAACCACTAATGAGCTATAAATTACAAAATTATGGAATCAGGGAACCATTGACTTGGGTAATTATGGATTAGATTGTCTAAACATGTGAACTACTTTTATTTTGCAACACTATTTTCTACACTTTCATATTACTCACCACCTATCAGACCGTACTGCTAACGTTTGTAGGGGTTTCATTTTTGAAAAATGAGACAGTTAAGAATACCAAATAAATAATGTTCTTGAATTATGTAACAAAATTTTTGTATAACTTTGCAATTAGACCTAAAAGTTACTTTATGGAACTCATACAGCCATAAAAACCTCAGGGAAACAAAAAACAAAGTTATATTAGAGTTATGTTTGAGTAATTATCAAAACATTTGGATAGGTGCCTAGTGTAAAAACAAATAACTTGGTGGAAGAAATGGTAATTTATACATGTCTATCCCAGGCCTTGTTTTATATAAAAAAGTGCTTAATGCATTAGCTTAACGCGATTTTGACGTCATAAAATTATCTATATTGAATAAAAAATAAAAATGATTTTTTTTTATTTTTAAAAATTATTGAGTAAACAAAAAATATTAACATTGATAAACATAATTATTTAAACAACGATTTTGTTTTGACAAGCAAAGAAAAATTTAGGTTTTTAAATTCTTTTTAAACTTATCTTGTTTAGCGTTTCAACTTGCGTTTTATAAAAATATAAAAAAGTTTTGTCTGCTTTGAGCATATTTTTGATACATAGTTTAGAACGCGTTCGCCAGAAATTTAATTCATAAATTTTTTATGTTATTGTAAAAGTATTTTACTTTTTAAACAAATCACAAAGAAACAGAGCTATAGAGAAAAATCGTTTTTAACGATTAAATCTTTTTTTTTAAATTTTAGGAAATTAAAAAAAAAAATTAAATTAAATATAAAAGTCTTTATTATGCAAACTCTTTTGTTAATTATTCTTTCAGTATTATAAATTCAGTTAAAAATTCTTAAAAAATCTATATTACAAAAAACATTTATATTCTGTATTAATAAATATGGAATATAGATTTTTTAAATTTTTTTTACTGAAAACTTTAAAAAATTACTACTTTTTATTAAAAACATTGCAAAAAATTTGTAGTTAAGGATTAACAAACAATTTTTCATGTTGCTAAATATTTGGATAAAAAGTTTAGCGTCAAATTAATTGCTATAAAAAGGAAAGATATATCGCGATGAAAAGTTACAACAATTATTTTTAAAGTAAATTCTTTTTTTTAATAAATATCTTTACATATCGTTATTTAAAAGTTAATGTGGTTTTTTTAAAAATTAATTACTTCTTTTATGTTACCGCTAATTTATAAGTTAAATGATAAAAAGTAGCTTAACCAAAACAGCTCTACGCGTACATAAAAATCGCTTAAGGCGTACGTAAATCCCTCTAGGCGTAACGCTTTAAAACAAGGCCTGCTATCCCCAACAGTAAAAGAGGCACAGATCAGATCAAACTCATTTTTATAGAACCATTTAAAGTTTGCAACTAGGACAAGTGATATTTAGTAAATAAAATCGAAATAGAATCAATAATTGTATAGTAGCTGTACCCTATTTCACGGTCACACGACTCAGGAACTGGATAATTAATAAAATTTATTTATTTTGACATTATAATAATTTTTTGTATTACAATAACAGTAAATTGTTATTGTTTCTAAAAAAATTAATACAATAACAATAGCTATTGTTTCTGTTGTTGTTTTTATCATTATTACAACAGTCCGAACATTAATAAAAGTTTTTCTTATTTATTTATTAGTTGTTTTTTGTTTGATTGTTTTTTTCCCATTTTCTTGATTTATTCCGTTTACTTTAATTTAATTTTTTTCTTTATTTTTCTCTTTTTGCTTTGTTTCTTGAATAAATCAATTGCAATGATAATGGTAAATATTAATTATATTATATGTACAGTGCTGAGTCACAATCTATGAGTAATCCAATTTCACAGTGAAAGCCAGTTATCTCTTATAGAGTCTAGTATAAAAAAATATGGATTTAATTATTTCTATAAACCTAATGGTTGCCAACCTTTTCAGATCAAAGAGCCAAAGTTTCAATTTACAAAGTTTTCCAATTTTTAAATAGCTTCTAACATTTTTATTTCAATATAATAATAATATTTGTGCATGGCACTTAAGAGCAATATCTTGAAATTGAAAGAGCCACATGCAGCTCATGAGCTGCAGGTTGCTAACCCCTGGTATATAAAATATGTATTGTAAACTGTGTACTTACATAAATCTTTATTTGTTTGTGCAGCAGACAAACAACTTTGAAATAATAGTGGTGTTAACAAGTAAACATCTAGTGTGTGCTTATTTAATTCTGTATGTGTTGCAAAGCACAACAGAGTTTTCAAAAAATTGGAATATAGTTTTAACAAAATACTGAAAGTTGAACAAGTGTGTAACAAAATACTACTGGGTCATTCCATGTCAACTCGACCAGTGATGTTCACCACACTATCTCAGATCTTCTTGAAATTTTTAGGGCTTGTAGTACATACAAAATTAAGCAATTGCTGAAATTTTTAGGCCATTTAGTCAAAAACTATCTGAGATATGATTTTATAAAGTTTTAAGGGTTGTTGCGAGTTCACATGACTTTTACATTTTCGTGATATTTGAACGTGAATATTTCAAAAACTAAAACAGGTATCAGGCTGAAATTTTCAGCATTACTCATTTTTTCATGCTGAGTTGAATGGTGTTTATATATCAAATGTAGCTTGCATACAATATCCCCTAAAAATGTCCAAACATTGCACTTTATTATCACCAATATTTGACCCGATATAGCCAAGAACCTATAAAACATGGAATGTTTGTTATACCATTAATAAGTAACATATATGTGATTATTATTTTCATAGAAAATTCATGTTAATCAATAATAGTGTACCCATTGTAGGCACCGTTATGCATCACGATCATCAATTTTTTGCGCGTTGCGACCCCCAGATGACCATGTTGACAGTAATTCACACATTTCAAAATTCAAAATATTTAAAAAAAAACTTAACGAAATATGGTTTTAATTAGCAATTGATTTAGTAGAAAAGGCTTAAGACACCAACATGAAATTTTCACCATAGCTAGTACTTACTGAGGTTAATTATGTGAATTATTCAAAAAAGAAATAGAAACACACAAATCAAACTATCCTATGTTGTATTAATATAGTTAGTCATACATGAAAAATGGATCTTAGACAGATGGAAATAACTTTTTTCCTCTTATTTTCTTTTTTTAAGTTTTCAAAAGGTTTTTTGAGAAATGAGAAGTTTTTTGGTTGAATTTGCTTTGTTTAAAATTAAAGCATCTTGATTGTTTTAATAAAAAATCTTGATTTGTGTAAACCTAAAACTTTTATCAAATTGAATAGTTTCAATAGAATTTCAGCCCTAGTTGTTTCTAATATTACAAGTTTCTGAATTTGAGTCAATAACTCTTTGGTGCTTTTTATTTAATAAGAAAGTGATGAGTTTTTTTATGCTTGCTTTTATATTTTAATGACTTTTTTTTTTTTTTACCTTGTTCAAAGTATAATGCTTTTGTTCTGTTACTTTAGTTATATCTATATATTAGTCTTCTTCGTTTAGCCAGCACTTTCACATTGAAATCTTTTCACGCTTGCCCACACGCTTGCAAAAACTTTGGCGAGCGCATAAAAAAGCGCTAGCCAAAAGAATTTTTTTTTTTTAAATTACAACAAAATTTTTTTGTTCATTTGTTCTTTTATGAAAAGAGGCTTCTTTTTTTTACCAGTTTTTTAAAATTATTTTATCTAATATTTATTCAAAGTATTATTTTCGCTATTTTTTTTTTAATTTAAATAGCATAAAAAAAAGAATATTTTAAATCGCGCAATAATTTTTTGTGGGCTGGCATTAAATTTTAAACAGAGAAGACTGATATATGGAATGTTTTTTGTGGTAGATACAAATGGTGGACCAAGAGTAAAAAGTTCATTATAATAATTTAGAGTTGTATAATTGTTGACTAAATCTAAAATAAATCTAAATTAAATAAATCTCAGTAAATGTGTATATATCACTTGTATATATATCAACTTCATGTTTTCCATTTAAAATATAATAATAATATTAATAGATAATAGTAATAATAATACTAATAATAATAGTAATAATAATAATGATGATGATAAAATTAAAAAATTAATACTTTTTTTTCTATTTATAGATAATAAATGAAATGAAACAGCAAAGAAAAAGAAAGAGACTTAGGAGTATTCGTCTTTTTAAGGTTAAGTTATTCAATCTTCTTGAACGTCCTCGTACAAAGTTTGCAGTCTTGTATCACACAAGCGTGTAGGTACATATTTCCTTAAAATGAAGTATATATGTAAATGATTTATAAACATCTATATTGAACTTTCAAGTGTTAACTGTTTACATAAATAGTTTAATGTAAAGTAGATGAAAAAGGACTAATTAATTAACTATCTTATGGTTATATAAGAAAAAAAAAGTGAAATGTCTAAGGTATCTATATTTAAAACAGTGAAAAACATACAGGGACGTTGAGTTAATGTGGAATTAAACTATTTGAAACTTTTTAATTATCAGTTTAATGATATAAAACACTTAATTTAAATGTGGTAAAGACTTTAAAAGGTAATCATTCTTGTGTTATCACAATAAAAGCATTCAGACCTTATTTGTAAAACACATTAAGGTCAGAGAAGACATCTCATTATAATTTATTGCTTTAATTGAATATAGATTTCTTTATTAGTGACCTTAACAGTGTTTGTAAAAAAGATAAAAATATGCAATTTTTTGTCAATTGACAGAGACTCAAACTTGGCAGCTAGTGTAGGTTCAATAACATTTAATGCATTTTTAGGCCTTGAAAATTTCACAGATGCTAAACTCTGCAATCAGTTATTCATATGTTTTACATGAGAGATCCATAGTAAATGATAACCTGAGAAGACGTAAATTAGAGAAATCAGTAATTTTTATGCTGTTCATCAATATATAGAAATATCAACAATTTTTCACTAATTTATTAACAGAAAACAACTGCAAGCTCCACGTTGCTACAAATGAGACCAGATTTAAGAACGGCTCCATGTTTAAAGTGATTGAAAAGTGATAACTTTTAGTTAAGACTGGAGTTTTTAATTGTGTCAGTAGCGAATTGAGTCATTTTTTATTTATTTTTAATTATTCACCTCCCCAAGGCCCGAGGGGGCCACTACATTCGAGGAGGCTAATTTTTGTTGTTGTTGTTGTTGTTGTTGTTGTTGTTGTTGTTGTTGTTGTAAATCATGGTACAACCCTCTCTCAACTCTTTAGCTCCGAAACATGAATCTTGACAAGCAAAGCTGCTGCGCGGAGAAAGTAAGTTGAGCACGGTACTTCCAGGGACGTGGTGGGAATCGAACTCTGAACCTCTCGGTTACAAAACGAGCGCTCTTACCACTACACCACTACCACATTCAATATTAATACTTTAGAGGTAAGAGTAACAGAAAGATCATTAGTATTGCTTGAGGAGCAACACAGAACCTTGTGGTTCCCCAATGTTACTGGAATTGTATGGAAGTGTTGTTTATCAAGGGCAACATTAGTACTACAGTGAAAATAGAATGATTCAATAATTTTAAAAACTTTCTCGGATACACCATATGAAGCAAGCCTATAGTGAAGACCAACATGCGATTCATGCAGTTAATGTGTCAGCAGTAGAACAAGAGGTTTGAAATCTATATTAATTTTCGGAAAATAAGTTTCTAGATTTAAAACGATGTATCAAGTTACTCAGCAATTTATTTAAGAGAAGAAAAAGTTACATAAAATCTTGTTTAATTGGAGGCAGGGGAAGAAGTTGTGGAAGCAGCTTGTAAACCTTGGATGGTAATCTTCTTAATGGTAATATTACAATAAAAATACTCAGTCTTGATCAAAACAGGTTAATGCTAGGAAGAGCAATTGATTATTAAAAAGTTTTTTTTTCATATTTAAAAAAAGTATTGTAATTATGAAAACAAACTTTCCATTTAAAAACCATTTGACCAATTAGAATATATTTTCAGCAGAGGTGGAAAGTAACGAATTACATTTACTCATGTAGTACTCTGTAATTGAGTAGTTATTTTGTGTTTTTTATTAGTTATTTTTTATTTTTCTACTTTTTAAGTATTTTTTAAATTTGTACTTTTACTTTTACTTTATTATTTTTTTTCTAAAGAAAATGAATAATAATATTATAAAATAATTATCGCTACATTTAAAATCATATGCGTTACTGAGTAAAAAAATTTATCATGTTTTGTTTAATTTCACAAATACTATGATTTAATTTTTTTTAGATGATAAATAATAGCTCCTGTTGTTTAACTTTATTCCTTAATGTTTTCATTAATGTTTTAAATTAAGTTATGAAGACATCAAACACGTGCACCGCTGACATTTCAAATTTATAATCGTTCTTTAATCGTTCTTATTAGAATTTTAAAAGAAATTTGAAATCGAAGTTTGACTATGTTTACATTTTGTACATTAACGTACAAAATGTAAACATAATAAAGTACAAGTACTATAAAAAATATGAAAACAAGTAGTTGTTATTTTCAATTAGTTATAAAATTGTAGTTATTTAAATTATTATGCCTTATTTGAGCAAGATAGAAGAAATGTTTTAACTGATGAAATACATATTATATAATGACATTTTTAAATTGAATAATTTGTATTAATAAACGGACACTTAATCTTAGCTTGATTTTTTATGACATAGTTTAATTCGTTTTGTCTACTTTTTTACTACTTTAATCATCCATTGTTGTACATAAAAATGAGTACAGTAAAATGAATTTTTGCATTGCTATATATATGTTATATATGTATATATATATATATATATATACATATATATATATATATATATATATATATATATATATATATATATATATATATATATATATATATATATATATATATATATATATATATACAGTGGCGTATTAAGACTTCTTGCGGCTATTTTTATTTTTGTAGGCCTTTTTATAGGGCAGAGCCTAAAAATGACTAAAAAAAAAAGGGTCTTATAAATTTTTGGGGTCCCCTAAATTTGCGGCGTCAAGGGCTATAGCCTCCCCTTGATCCAGCACGATTCCACTTCTGATTTTCAGCATAAACCACACTTTAAAAAGGTTTAGTTTTTTTTTTCTATTAAAAAGAAAAAATTGTGTCATTTTATCATCACAAAATCTTTTAGTTTGTAAAATTTTCATTGTGAAACCAAACAAATAAAAAAAATTCTACATTGTTAAATTTAAAAGCTTAAACTTGAAACAATAATTACTGTAAGCATTTTAAGTAGTTAATATATTGTTAATTAGTACAATTAATGTAACAAGATTTTAATATTTTATTTTAGGTCTTTTTTTTTTATTGAAATTAAAAATTTATTAGTACAAAGAATTTTTCTTAAGCTTCAACATTAAATAAATTAAGAAAATTAAACAGTTTAAATTTGTACTCCAAGGGTTGAATTAAGCGACCGTGATTTGCAAAATCTGAAAAAATATCTGGTCTTCAAAATTTTAGTTTATAAAAAAGCCGTGTACTTTGTTTTCAAAGAGCAAATTATTATAAGTTAGTTAGCAAAAAAATTATAAAACAAAACAAACTTACAATTACAAAAGCAATAACTCTCTAGTCACTAACTGCATTATAAAAGTAATAAAACTGTAATAGTAGGCACTTCGACATTTTGCTTTTCACCGAATGAAAACGTGCCTAAATTTAGCTACTGGGTTTTGCGATTTGAGCAAATCATATGTTTTTCAGAAACCAACTATAGTGTTAACCTTAACCAATCAAATTAAAGCTTGGCAATAAAGTAGTATTCAAATCAACCGACATTTTGGTACTATTTTTGTGGAATTCTGACAAAGAAAACTTGCTTAAATTTTGTTTTGCAAACTTCTAATTTTCTTTTGACTTTGCAGTTTTATATGATATGAGCAAATATTTTTGAAATCTATTGAACCAATTGTTTTAGTCATTTATCTACATTTCTACCAAATTTTATTTAAATTGAACAGTGCAATCACTTGTTATACGACGTGCACGACTGCATGGTCATTTGTGTCGCACAACAAACATTAATTGTCGTATACAATCTTATGATTGTTATTTCAGTCACAAAAGTTTTGATTTTAATGTTATTTTTTTTATCTTAAAATTATACATTTATAATTTTTGAACCCCTCCACCTTGAATGATGAATTTGGTATCATTTTAAAGATCTTTTTAAACTCTATTTAATGACGAAAGTTACTTTTAAATATAACAACTTCTAAAATTTTATCAAAGTGCCTAATAGTAGTGTTATTACTTTTATAAAGCATTTATAACTTTTAAAGTTCATTCTTTGTTCAAACAACATTAGTAATTCCAAATTTTAATCTAAGTTAAAAAGCATCTAGAAAAAATAAAATGGATATTCAAATATTAAAAACTTCATGAACTTTTACAAATACACTTAAACAACTTTATAAGAACGTACTTAACAAAAAGTTAAGCATTATGCAAAACTTTACTATTAGTCTGTAAAAACGCGCGTTAATTTTAAAATCAACCAATAAAATGTTTTTATTAGTTGATTTTAAAATTGGCGCATGTGTTTAAGGACCATTAGTAACATTTTTTCATAATGCTAAGCTTTTTACACAGTACGTTTTTATAAAGTTGTTCAAGTTCCTTAATAGGTTTTAAACATTATTTGAATATCCTCTCTATTTTTCTAGATGTTATTCTACTTCAATTGAAATTTGGGATGACTTATGTTTTTTGAACAAAGAATGAATTATAAGAGTTAAACGTGCATTATAAAAGTGATAACACTATTATAGTGTTATTACTTTTGTAATGCAATTAGTTACTAAAGTGTTATTACTTTTGTAGTCATAAGTTAATTGTTTTATTTTTTATAACTTTTTTGCTAACAAATTTAAGTTAATTTGCCCCTTTGAAAACAAAGAACACAGTTTTGCATAAACTAAAATTTTAAAGACCAGATATTTTTCCAGATTTTTCGTTTTGCAATTGCTAAATTCAACCCTTGCACTCTTGGATTCAGGCATTATTGCTAAAGTCGATTTTATGACATTTGTATAAGGTTTTTTTTATTATTTCCATAATCTATTATATACAAGTTGTACATAATGTACACATGTATGTTCAACAAAACTTTTACCTCTCTTCATGAGCAGGAGTCATGCATTCTCTCTTCACTCCTGCTCTCTTTACTCCTGCTCTCTTCACTCCTGCTCTCTTCACTCCTGCTCTCTTCACTCCTACTCTCTTCACTCCTGCTCTCTTCACTCCTGCTCTCTTCACTCCTGCTCTCTTCACTCCTGCTCTCTTCACTCCTGCTCTCTTCACTCCTGCTCTCTTCACTCCTGCTCTCTTCACTCCTGCTCTCTTCACTCCTGCTCTCTTCACTCCTGCTCTCTTCACTCCTGCTCATGCAAGAGTAAAAATAAGAATACTTTTAGATTTTTTTAGGTTAAGTTTTTAAGTTGGCATTTTTAAGTTGTTTTTTTAGGTATTGACTAAACATGATTTTATATAATTATTATAATTTAAAATTGACTAAACATGATTTTATATAATTATTATAATTTAAAATTTTTTTTTTTAATTTTGATATCAGGTTTTTATTAATGAATTGGGTTTTCCATTGAGTATTTAAATTACAAATTAGAAAATAATAACTGAATTTTTCTTTAGTTTTGAGTTACAATTTCTTTGTTAATAATAAAATTTAAAAAACTTTATGGAAGGAAGTCTTAATAAGCTCAGGGTAAGTGGGAAAATTTTCCAAAAATTAATAAGCATTAATTTCCTTGTGTAAATCAATTAGAAGTAGCACCTTTTTTTTCTTGATTTTTCATAATTCCTGTTTTATAAGTAACAAATTTAAGTAAGTATTTGATCATGCTTTTTTAAAGTTTAAAAATTTTCCAATTCTTTGAAAAACTCTAACTTAAGTATTAGGCACAACATCTAAATAAAAAAAAAAATCGAGTTATATCAGCATTTTTGTAATTAAACTTACCCCAGTAAGGATTGCACTAAAGATCAAAATTATAGGTGTTATGTTTATATTGATATATTTTAAATATGGAATTGCCCTTTGTTTAAATAACATAAAATTTATTTTTTGATGTTTGTTTACAATTTCTGAAACTACTTTGTTATAATATCTTATAAAAGCATTACATTCAATAAACAATGCAATTTCTATTTATTATTCATAAAACTTTTAATTTTTTTTTTTTAAACAGTTTTGTGCTGGTGTTGGCGAGTTTAATTTTGAGTGTTCTAGTAACAATCGACAATTATAAAGCAAATCTCTTAATAATATATGGCCTTAATCGTTTGGTAAGTTTGATATGATTTTTTTCTTTATTTCAATTCACCTCCCCAAGGTCATGAGGCTTGTAACCGCAACTTTAGTTGCGGTTACAAGCCTCTCTCAACTTTGTAACTCCAAAACACGAACCTTGGCATAAATTAATTGACTTCCCTAAATCCAACATATTTTATTCTAATTAAAAAGTTTTCATGTTTACTGTTATATTTTAAGCAAACATTAATTAATTGATGTACTTTAATGATTAATGATTTTTAATGAGCTCTAAAATGCCGACATACCAAAGCTTTTTACGTTTTTTCTAAAAAGTTGCTAGTTTATTGATATTGTAAACAATTACTCTGTGGAAATAATTAAAAAGCTATATTTATAAAATATAAATTGTAAAATAGAAACGTATAATATCTCCAGTAAAAAAGTTGATAGCGAAATCAGTTTAACTAGAAATATGTGTCTATTGTATGTTTTATTTCCTTTTTTTATGTTTTATTTCACCTCTCCAAGCTCACAAATGCCACAACAGTCAAGAGGCTGCTTTTAGTTGTGGTTACTACCCTCTCTCAACTCTATAACTCTGAAACACGAACCTTGAGGAACAAGGCCGCTGTGCGGAGAAATAAGTTAAGCACAATACTGCCAGGGACATGGTGAAGATCGAATATGTATATATATAAGTAAATATATGTATGCATGTTTCATATAATATTTATATATATATATATATATATATATATATATATATATATATATATATATATATATATATATATATATATATATATATATATACTTATTACTTTTTTGTTTTTTTGTTGCTAATCTAACACTTTTTTTGCTCAATTGTTGAATAACAATATTTCAATTTCTGTTTTTTATTAGTGCTGTGGTACTAATAAAAATAATTAGCAACAAAAAAACGATTTGAGGAGCCCATCTGCAAATTGTGCCAAGTCACAAAAATAAAAATTTTGAGATATTTCTACATTCTATATATTGAAATCTATCATAATTAAGTTATAAATATAAGTGACATTGCAAGAGCTATATTGCTTCAAGCCTTAATTCAAGCAAAAAAATTAATAATAGAGTTATATCCATTAAAGAATTTTTTTTTTAAATTATAAGTAAATAAACTTTTATAAGTCTACTACTAGTGATCTACGTGTGATAATTACAAAAGTTTGTAATAATGTTTTTCGTTTTTTTGATAAAATCAATCATAATAAAAAAACAAAGTTTGAAATATCAAAAGTGGCGCAAAATAATAAAATAAAAGTTCATCTGTACTTTAGCTAAAAAACTTTTGTTTTGTTAAATAAATAACTTTTTTTTGTTTTTACTTAAGTTATAACATTTGTTAATTTCGTGAAGATAACAAAATGTTTTATAAAAATATTTTTTAATTCAAAGACTTTAAATAAAAAGAAGGAACGTGATAAATTAAAACCTTGAATGTAAAATTTAGCTTCAAAGAAATGTAAAATAGTTTTTCAATTTTTATTAAAATTTTTTCTAATCATCTGCTAACTATTTTTTCTAAATCATCTGCTAACTAATTCATTACGTAAAACACAAGCCTTTCCATCATAGATTATCATAGATTATAATATGCGAAAACAAATAAAAAAGGAATTGTTTTTGTTTAACAAAAAATCTTTTAACATAAGTATTTAAAATTTTTTCTTATTAATTCAATATTATGTAAAGTTTTTTTACCGTAATGCAATTATAAACATAAATTACGTTTAGAAATATGTTAATGGTAACTGAAAAAATCTATCCTAAATTTGTTTATAATCTTTATTAATAATACTACATTAAAATATGTTAAGATTAAATAAAACAAAATAAATTGTCACGAATAGACAAAAGATTATGTATAAGGTTGTTGTAAGAAATAAATTATAAGGAAATAAAATCTTTTACAAATACCAAATGGTTTAAATGGTTTAAAATTAAATTTAACTACATTGAGGTAAAATACTTTCAACAATCAATAGTTTCCAGGCTAATGTAATAAATGATCTTTACAGTTACAACATTTTAAAAGGGTTTTAAAGTATTTGTAAATTGTTATCTTATATTTGTCACTATTTTTTTGTGGTAAAAAAAAAGAGAACTTATTTTTTTTTTATAAGATAAGTGCTCAATTCATGTAAAAAAACTAATGACATATATATAGACATGAGGTTAATCTGAATGTTGACAAATGAATGTTATCAATAGTTTACAATATTACTTTTATTTACGCCAATTATTTTTAGTCTACACTTAACCCTTTATTTTTTTAAATTATTTATTTTATCTAATCATTTGTAGTCTATAATTAGCTAAGGAAAAATGGTTAGAATATGCGAGAATTATATAAGCACCAAAATATAGGGGAGAGTGGGGCATCATGACACACTCTTGGTTTTTGCTTTGTAACATTTTCTTTAATTCCCTTTTTTTTCGGCAATTGGTTTAATTTGTTGAATAAATTTACATCTACCAAATAAAATCTATAAATTACCTTGATATACACTATGAGCATCATTAAAAAAAAAAAAAAAACTATAAAAAAAATGAGAAAAAGCAGATTTTTATTTGAAATATAAACAAGTTAATATTTTTAACCTAAATAATGCATCCAATGGTACAAATCAGATTTTAGAAGACCAGATAATATTGTTTTAAATATCATTCTTTAGCATCAGTAAATAATGGCTTTGTATTGAAATGGTATCTCCTTTTATTATATTTACATAAATCTTTTTAAAATTGAATATAAATATTAAAATGATTTTTACATATTGTTTATGGCACAATGGAGTGCTATTCTTTAGTTTTAGGGCCCCCCAAAAATGCTGTATTAAGTTACCCAATACTTGCTAATAGAAAACGATCACTTTATTTTTAGTATCAACTTGTTTTTTCAATAATTTTTTTTAATGAAGTAAAAACTTATGAGTTGTAGTTTACAAAATAATGTTACTTACCAATATTTGGTTTATTATTTTTTAATTCACCTCCTCAAGACCGTAAAGGCCACTACAGATGATGATAATGCTTGTGGTTAGTAAGTGACCAGGTAGTTTAAAACTGCAGTATTAAAGTTATTCTTGAAAGCCTACACTCCTCTTTTTGTTTCAAGTAACTTCAAGGGTACCACTTTAGTTCTACCTAAAATAACAATCTTCACGCAAATTTTACATATTAGGCCTCTAATTGCTGACAACTCAACTTTATACTCTGACAACTCTTCTCTTAACAAAAAATCTTCACTTTTTGATTAGATAGAACAAGCAACCAGTTTTTAATCTGATCTCTTTTCTGTAGTAGTAGTAGCTTGTGAATTTAAATTCTGGACTTAAAATCACACAATTTTTTAAGGCAACAAAACTCATTTACTGCAAAAAAATATTGCAATATTGTTGGCATCCCTATATTGACAAATAACAACCCTCTTAATCTCAGACAAAGTCTAAAAGCACATTGTAAATGAAGTACGAACTCCTTTATCTGCCAAGCTTGAACCACTTCCACATTGTTGTAAGGTTGCATTTCTTTCTTTTTTCTACAAATACTATTATGGACCATGCTCAAACGAGCTATCATCTCTATTACGATAACCAAAACTCATTCTTATTTGGCTTCTTATTCAACAAGTTGCATCCTTTTATTGTATCTGTTCTTTCATGCTATAAAAACTTTTATTAATCCAGTTTTTTTCCTTGCACATCAAAAAAGCCTTATAAGTTTCCCCATCTTCATGTTTTCCCATTTAATATATTTTACAACTTTAAAAGTCTTCAGTTAACCGTTTTCTAGAATTTTAACCTATCCTCTATTTTAAAGTAACTCATAACTTAATAGTGGTTGCTTGCAATCTTGTTGGAAGTAAATTAGAGTTTAAAAATATATAAGTATGTGCCAGTATATAATAAATAGTAAATGTAAGTATAAAATTATAATACAAAAAGTATTATAAATTTTTTTCTAGCCTCAGCTATCAACCCCTGCTAAAACTTATAATTTTGCCGGGGCCTGGTTTGCAAAACGTCTCATTTTTAGCCGGGGCCTAAGGACTGGTGAAGTCGACTTTTTTAAGATTCAAATTAAAATGAAAGACGAATTCTGATCATATGCGTATACCAAATTTAACTGAAAGACAAGTTTTAGTCGTATATGTAGCCCGAATTTAACTGAATGACAAATTTGGACTTCTAAACTGAATTTAACTGAAAACCAAATTTGGATTTTAAAAACACATTTAATTAAAAGAGAAGTTTTTTAAAAACTTTTATGAGTTTTATAAAAATTTTATTTTTGTTTTTTTTTGTTTTTTGTTTTAGGTGTTCCAAGAAGAACTAACGGTTTTGCCATGGAGGACATCTGAAAAGTATTAAACTAATAAGTTCAAACCACCTTGCTTACCAATGGTGTAAAATATGCTCAGAGCTTGCTTTGAATCCTAGGTTTCTTGCTTTTAAAGCCTGTGCCGCGATTGCTGAATAATCATTTTTTATAAAATAAAATTACTATTGTAATTAACCATATATGTTGCTTGTAATTAAACATAATTCAAAACATGAATTGTGAAAAAAACATGAACAAGTGAAAACATGGCTAAGAACAAGTGAAGCCAAGTTAATTTTAGCTTTAGTAAAAAAATATACGCTTACAAAAAACAATTTGCGTTGAAATAAAAAATCCAAAAATTGAGTAGAAATTTTAATTTTAATTTTTACAACTCTTAATGGTTTTGAACGAGCATGAACAAAAAAACATTTACGTTTATTGAAAAATTTTGATTGTCAATTTTATAAAAGAAAAAGATTGTTAACAATATTAGGTTAAATATTCACCTGTTTTTTACCTTTAAGATTTTTTGAAAGGGATAAGTAAGATTTAATAAGTGATGAATAGACTTTGTGCCTAAAAAAGACTTTTTGAATATTCGAAAGACTCTTTAAAACAAATTTATTTCCAATATATATAGAAATTTGACTTTCATTTAATTCGTTAT